TTGTATTGGGGGTTGTATGTCCCAGTAACCCCCAAGTGCTACCCTGGCTAAAATCCCCACCCCCTTTCCGAATAGGATGCCAGCCAACCCATCCCTCGTGGTTTGTATGATGTCAACCCTCAGCTTTTCGTGGGGCATCGCCTTGGGATGGACCCAGGATACGGGCCCTCGGGGTGCGCATCGCGCAAATCTGCCTCGTGGACACCGCCTACGCGGGAAGTCCGCCCTCGGCGGCTTGGAAGCAACGAGTCGCCGCGCGAATGGACGAGACTCGCCTCCCACCAATTCATCCCTTCCCCCTTTTAGTACATGGAACCTATGAGAAAAAGCAGGTTTTGCCCCCCAGAGATTATGTATTATGGGGGGGTCCGCGTTTATTGTTGGGGGGGAAGGGATTTACATGGAGCCTGACAGGGACTTGGTCCCTCTGGAAAATGGTCCAAGCCGGGACCCCCAAGAGGGTCAGGTTCCAGGTGAAAAAGGTGAGAGGGTACCTGCCGAACTGTGGGTCCGTCCTCTTTTGTGGGTTCCCTTCAAACCAAGGTGACTGAGCCACAAAAAAGAAACACACACAAATGAGAAGGCTCCGTTTCACCCATTTTCTAATTTTATTTTGGTTCTACCACACCATGGTGCCTCTTTTTTGGAGTCGGTTCCCCCTTTCTGGTCGTTGAATGAAAGCAAAAAGGAACATCACCAAAATGAAAATCCTTTTGTGGTTTCAAGACAGCCAACCCCGGGAAACATGTGTTTTATGCCCTTATGTTGGATTGGGACATGCATGGGTAGTAACCCTCGTGATGGCCCAGGAGACTTGCAACCATGGTTGCTTATAGGCATGGTACTTGGCTGGCTAATACAGGGTTTCCGAGCCATTCCCCTTTTTGGAACCTCCCAAAGTGGCGTTCGGTTCAATGGAGCCACCAGTAAATTGATGAACTTTGGAGTTTGGGAAATCCAGTGACCCCTGTCATAGATCCTTTTGGAGTCACCCCCACTTGGAGACAGACCCATATCCTGAGCATGTCGTATTTTTGCCAGAAGAGCCGGCGAAGCCTTTGGCCGGAGGCTTCAACATATAGTAAAACTATAGGTACATTTCCTTTTGTGTTCTGTTTGTAATCGTTATTTCTGCTTCTCTTTCTTTCTTTCTTTCGTTCTTTCTTTCTTTCTTTCTTTCTTTCTTTCTTTCTTTCTTTCTTTTTTCTTTCTTTCTTTCTTTCTTTCTTTCTTTCTTTCTTTCTTTCTTTCTTTCTTTATTCTTCTTTCGTGTTTTTTCTTTCTGTCTTTCTTTCTTTCTTCCATATCTTTATGTTCCTTGTTTTCCTTTTAAAATTTGTCCATTCCTTCTCCTTTCTCTCTACCTAGCTATCTATCTAGCTTCGTAGCCATATACCTGTCTATCTACCTACCTATCTTTCCCATCCATCCTATCTATCTAATCTATCCAATTTATCTAGCCGGTCTAATCTGTATAATCAGTCCAATCTATCTAATCTATCCAATCTATCCAATCTGTCTAATCTATCCAATCTGTCTAATCTATCCAATCTGTCTAATCTGTCTAATCTGTCTAATCTTTCTATCACTCTATCTAGCTATCCGTCTAGCTATCTATCTATGTATCTGTCTGTCTTTCTATCTTGTCTATCTTGTCTGTCTGTCTATCTATCCTTTATGTTTCTATCTTATCTATCTCTATACATGTGGCTGTGGCTAAAAAAAAAAGGGTACCAAAATGGAACTCTGGTAAGTGGAAACATGGACCAAAACCTGCGTAACCCCTCCTGCTTAATTTTGAGCCATACCCATATATTGTTATATATCTGTTTATCAAACTATTCAGCTATCGATCTTCGCTGGCCCCCAGAGCTGCGCCGGATCTCGCGCTTGCCACGCAAACCGCCCGCCCCGACCGCACCGATCAAGCTAACTTCCGACCATAGGAAGCGAAACCCGAAGAGGGGAAGCACTTTGTTGACTGGTCGATTCCCCCGCCACATGCGCACGCGTTCTTTTCGTGCATATTCTACTCTTGTCATGAGTCTCAGAGAGCAATCTTTCAAAAAAGGTTGCGTACCACGGAAGTACCTTCTAAACGTCCTTAGGCTACAGAGATGGTTGTGGAAATTTGTTTGCTTTAGGCTGCCCATTTCTGGGAAAACATCATACAATTAAAATCCCTTAAAGCGATATTCTGAATGGGACTTTCATATCAGACAATTTGTGATTTGCCAGAGACATGTTACATGTTGTCCGGTTTTGAGTTCGGATTCCCTGGGACATCCACCAGCCTCTCTTGTCGGCTCGCTGAGTTTTATCTGTCCGATTCGATGTGCACGCCTACCGGCTCAAAACATGCGAAGCGCGGCTGATTTCGTAGTGGGTTCTCAACTGCAACATTGATTCACACCCTCTGTGATTGTCGCCCCAAAGTGGGCTTTGGCTGCATCCACAATAAGCATACTGCATTGGAATCCCCATGTCGGTTGGGTGTTGGGAAGCGTGGAATGAGAACAGAGGATACAGGCACGCCCAGGCAAGCCCCGAAAGGAGAACCAACCAAGAAAACTGTCATGCGACATCCAGAGGTAAACGCCTTTGCCTGCTAAATATGGGTGCGTCTTGCTTTGCGGCACCCTCCAAATTGATAGGTTTTATGTTGGTTTTCCTTTACACCGCAAAATAAAAGGTGCCCTCGGCAAAAGCACCCATTTCGGGGTAAGGATCTTTGGCAGATCAGAGGTTGTTTTTCAGCGCAGGTGGAGGTCCGCAGAGCATTACGCCTCTTGGCGCAAATTGGTCGGGGCTGCATTCAGTTCCCTTTGGGTTCCCTTTGGGTTCCCTTTGGCTTCCTTTTGGCATCTTCTATGGTTTCCAATCATTTGCTTTGTGTTCGTTTTGCCTTTGGTGTCCAAAATGGTTTGCTTCTGATTTCCCTTTGGTTTCCTTTTGTTCCACCGGAGACGAAGTGGAGTCCTCCTTCGGGCCTCTTCGCGCGCGAGCTGCCAAAGAAGTGCTGGCCCCGAAAGAAACCTACGCTGCAATCCATGGCAACGGCTCATCTTGGGTTGGTGATAGAATGACTTCACGTGTTTCCTTTGCCCTAGCATGGAAGTTTGGGACGAGCACTTTGATTTGGGGAAGCCAACTGCCCACTTCGATCTTTGTCGGAAAGAGGGTCGAATCTTGCAAAAGGCCCCCTGAACCACCCATGATAAATGAAGGCTTGCAGACAGACCCAAACATAAATAGGTGAGACAGCGGCATTGGCTTTGGGCAGATTCCCTCAACCACTTTGTTTTGGAAATTCCAATGTTCACCTGGGTGCCTTCGTTTCAACCAATCTTTAGGCGCAAGTGACGGTTTGATTCTTCACTTGGGTTTGGGTAGGCCACGTACATATATAATAATAACATTTCGACGTTAAAGCTACAGTGGTTGCTGTTATCTAAAAAACAACAATAATTTTACAAAATGTAAGAATTTAGTCATGCTGATTAGATTTTTGGTATCTTGAATATGTCCAAACCGCCCTTTTCCCTGCGGCTTTTGAGGACGGCCCGAGGTTTTTGACGTGTGGCGCGTTTCGCGTGGGGCCCTTCAGCTCAGGGGAGTTCGCGGACTGGCAGCGGGCGGCGGCCCAGCTGTGTCGCCGGGAAGCCCAGAAGGGCTCGAGAGATGGGAAGCGAGGTGGCGGGGGGGGAGGTGCTGCCTTTGGCCAAGGGATGTTAGGACTTTAACTCACTTTTTCGATCCAACTTCTTTGGGGTTTTCCGGATGAAACCACGATATTTTTTTTCAACAGCAGGGGAACAGAAAGCAACCGAGTTTGGATGTGCTCCATAGCCCATTGGGCACCCCTTGGGCGGATAGTTAATGACCAGTTGCAATTAAAAAAACATGGCAGATGTGGGTAGCTTTGTCGAGGCCACCCCCTTGTTGGTGTTGTTTGGTTTTTTTTGGACGGCCAAAAGGACATCTGGCATGTTTTTGCTTTTTTGGAGTGTGGGAGGGCCCTAGAACAGACTCGCCGATGGTTCATTTGTTCCCGAGAGGGCAGCTGGTTGGTTCTTGGCTGAAAGTCCATGGTGCCAGTCCCGTCCCTGAAACGCCACGGGCTCGGGATGTGGAGAACAAGGAAAGCTGAGCCGGGGGAAGGCGTCCGGAAATTGGAGAAGCGCGGTGGCAAAGGGGACAAAAAAGGGGGCGAGTTGGGACTTTGGGGCCGAAAAGACAGATTGGGGTGGAACTACCTGGGCGATGGTCAAAATTAGGGGGCCCCTTTTTGGAGTTTCTTTCAAAAGGCGGCACAAGGCGGCACCAGGGTCGGTCCAAAAAAACAGGGGCCATACTTTTGACAACTCCACTTTGGTGCATTTTGCTTGGCTGTTAGGACTCTAACTTCTTGCCAACTAATGGGTTTTCCGAACTAAACCACTAAAAGTTATTCACTTTTAGCAGGGGAGCAGATCTCGCAACCGAGTCCACACCTACCTTTTGTTTGAAGATGAATGAGAACTGATTTCTTGGTGCTTGGATTCGGCCGGTTCCTGAGGCTTCTCGTTGTTTTTGTTTTTGTTGTTTTGGGGGCGTGGCCGAATGTAAGCCACGGGTTTTCTCAACTCTTGGCGTCTTTTCTTTTTTTAAAGCTGGTTTCGTGGCTGGGTTTTCTGAATTTCAAGTCTTCAACTTGGGGATCCGAAGATTTTTCGGGCATCGAGGCTCCTCCTTTTGTGGGTACGATTCTGGAGACAGTTGGGAGATTCCGAAGGGAAGCCTTGAACCCATGTTTTTGGACACTGCCTGACATGGACCCAGTAAAAGACGGTTAAGGGTTCATAGTTCACCGTTGCCGTGGATTGGCATCCCCATTGGGTCCCAAGTTGCCATTGTGAACCCAGCTGAGCACTCTTTCAAGCTTCTTTTGCGGGAGGGTACTTGCGGCTCAGACCTAATGGCTGTGAAATCAAGCCATGGCAGAAGAGTTTTTCCTTTTGCTTGGCGACTCATTTGTTGTACGAGGTGCACCAAAGGGTCCAGCCAATGTAAAGTTCATACCAGCACCTGGGCTCGATCTCCCAGTTGTTTTCTAGTATGGTAGGCTCGGGGTTTGCCCTCTAGACTCTAGCTTGCGTTTGATGCTTTCCCTCTAGCGAATCGAACTTGTTGCAAAAGCCGTTTGAGTGTGTCTCGATATCGGGAGGAAAGCCAGCAATTGCAACTGTTTTTGCGTTTGGTTTGCCTTTAGAAGTTCAGAAACAAACGAGCTGATGATGGGGACCTTGGATTTGAAGCACCCCCCACTCGAAGCTGGTCCGGCAACTTCGCTCCACGGAGGACATGGGTCGTTCCAGCGGCCCATATCCGACAACTTGCTGGTTAGCGGGTAAGGGTTTGCGGAATGAACCCCCGTTTTTGTTTGTTTTATTTTTGAGATGTGAATTTTGATGAGTTGTGCTTACCCCCTAATCCAAATACCCACTTGTTCCAGTTTTTTTTTTTTTTTAGTTTTTTTTTGAAAACCTGGTTTTTCAAGGTAAAATACATCCTTTTTTAGTAGAGGGTCGACATCATACCCTAAAAAAAGTGGGTATTTGGAGTCGGGGGTAGTTTTCAGGTTGGATCCACTTTGCGCAGCGTCAGTGCGGCTTCTTTGTTTTTTTGCTTTTAGTGGGAAACGAGAAACGCGGTTACTCTTTTTTTAGGCCACCCGCTCAGGAAGTGAGGTTCAATCAGAATTTTAGGGGTTGATTCCCCGTTCTTTTCAACCATCGTTCTTTCCCAAAACCAATCGCTGCTTTCCCAGGCTGTTTGGTGGTTTTCTGGAAAGATCCCTACTAAAATAGACCAAACCGCAAAAGACACGGTACCAACTTAGTCTAACCTCTCAAATCTGGAGGTCCCCGATCAGAAACTCGCCCCACGTTTTTTTTCTTCTTCCGGCGTCGACCCGTCGAGCTTTCGCCTCGCTTTCGTGGAGGCCACGAGCCGGCGGAGGTCCTGGTCTTCGCGGAGGTCTGGGACTACTACGAGACCTGCTGTCCAAGTCTCGGAGAGTCCAAGGGGGTCTGTTTGCCACCTGTTGTGTTGGAAAATGGGCGACCCGAATCCTCAAAAAGGAATCCTTTACTACAAGGGGGGTCGATCATTTTTCCCCCAAGGGTGGCAAAAAGACCCCCCTGGGAGAGTCAGCCCACAAGGAGGTCTGTGGGCGGAGGTCTTGGCACTTGCCGACCCAAGACTCCAGAGTTCTTGGTAGGTCATATTTTCCCCGGTGGCGAAGCCAGCCATCCGGTTCCTTAGCTTTTTAGACCTTTTTGGTGTTTAGTGGTAGTTTCGATTTTAACCCACTAAAAGTTAAACTTTTAGCAGGGGATCAGAGGGTAGCCCGGTTTCACCGGGATTCCTTCCAAAGTGGGTTGCAGGCCAACCCCTGCATCCAATACCGTTTTTGCGGGAAGTTGTCAACCCCCAACTAGAATAGGAGACTCTGTTCTATGGGCGAACTGGTTTTGAACATACGCCCAAACACCACGGGTATTTGGAGTAGAGGTGTGGGCAGAAGCCTGACGATGTGTTCCGTCCTGCCAGCAAGGTAGAGAGACCAATGCGGCACTTTGTCCTCTTTCCGTTCTTTTGTTTTGTTTTTCTCTTCTCGGAGGAACAGGGACATATTTCATGGAAGACGCCGCCATGTCTCTGGCCACCATTTCGACACCGAGGCGAAGCGGAGGCGCCCAAGTACCCGGACCTGGAGAGGTACAGGCGGAGAGTTCTTGGCGGGGGCAAGAAATGGCTCATGACCCCCAGCAAGAATCTGTCCAACTGGTGGGTTACTGAGCACCAGCAAGTCTTCGGAAGCGCATCTGACATGACACTCAAGCATTAGGTGGGGTCGACACCTTGTGACAGGGCAGTCGACTCCTGGAACCCCAAAATGGGTATGGGTCAAAGTGAGTCACAAGAAAGGGACCGCAGGTTTTGGGACCGGTTTTAGTCCTTCCCATTTGGATGTGGCTCAAAATTAAACAGTAGGGGTTACGCAGGTTTTGGCCTTTGTTTCCATTTACCAGGGTTCTTTTTTGGTACCGGTTTTCTGAGCCACAGCTTACCAGGGCAACCCATTTCGGGGTTACCCTGTTGAGCCACAGCCTTTTCGAAGCTCAGCCGCTTGGCGGCTCCGGATGAGCCTCGTTTGGACGCCAGGCAACCCTGCGACCTCTTGGTGCACTGCTCCTTGGCGAGAGGTTTCATCCACCAACCAACCGGTCAGAGGTTTTGCACTTTTTGTTTTTATCGGATGTGGATGTGGATGTTCCATCTGAATCTGGACTAGATCACGCCTCCAGAAATAGTCAAATTGGCCCTGGGATGTAAAAAAGAGATGCAAATTGCGTTTGGATAAAGAGCAATGGATGAATGGAATGGGGCATGAATTAATCTGTATTGCGGCCAGCATCTGGCAAATCTGCTGGATTGGGGGGGCTCATGAACTTTAGTTGCTTTTTGAGTTTGGACCATTTTAGTGGCAAACAACAAGTTTGGTGACTGTGTCTGGCCAGTCCACACAAGAAACGGTATTTTACCTAATCTGGTAGCTCCAAAGAAGGGGACCGGTCCCTGAAGGGAGGTGTTTTAAACCCCTCGGATGTACACGTGACGTATCCCGAGAAGAGGGGGCCCCCTACATTCCATTGCCAGGCAGAGCTTTCCCGGATTTGATTCTGAGCGCAAGCTTCTTTTTTGAGATTTCGTCAGCCCATTCTTCCTGTGGGCTTGCACTGCAGCCTTTTTTCTTTTTCAGACCACATAGGTTGATGAAGGGGAAGCATGGCTCGGTTCAGCCACCCGAGCTTAGTGCTGAGATAGAAGTCCTTGTGAAGTTGTGCAAGCCACGATACTTTACGAGCAACGGTCAACATTCACCGTCATTGGGAAGTGCCGGTTGCTCATCAAAATGAATATGATTTGTGGCCCAGAGGTATTCAACATGCAATCACCCTTTCTGCAGCCAGGATCGAACATCAGCAACAACATGTGAGTCATAATCAAAACCCGGGAAATGATGCTTGGGGCCAGTCCCAACACATAGGTGCGGCCGCCTTCTTAATTCTTTACATGGTTCTGGGTCCATATTGATACCAGGTTTTGCTGTGACTCATGTGGAGTCAAACGGCAGCCGCCAGAACCAAGCCTCGCACGTTCCGAGTTTCATGAAAAGTGGCGCCACGATCTAAAGGGCCTTTTGTAAGGTTCAATACACCTAGTACCTGGGGGGGGACAGACGATCAGTTTGCTCTTGAAGGATGATGTTGTGAGGTTCCTGAACGGAGGAGTGTGGGAAGATGTGGGTTTTGTCTTAAAATGGAGGACCCAAAGCGTTTAGGTCCTTGCGGCTTCCCTTTTGAAGCAACCACAAAATGAGTCCCTCAAAACACCACACACGCACATGCACACATGGGACAATTTGGGGGGATGTCTGAGGCGATGCAGCCTGGCCCGGAGCCGATGAGGACTCCATTTGGCATGTCCCACACTTTTTGCGGGATCCGACACGCTCTTTTGCGGGGAAGGACCCTTCGCGCTTCGCCTCCTTCCGCTTCGCCGAAAAGCGCGCCTCAGGTTTGGACTTGTTACATTTCGCACGGACCAATCGGCGGGTTCCGTGGTCAAGAGACAACGGTCTATGAGCCGTCCGGAACCCGCAGAAAACAACAGGGGCCCGGTCAATCCTCCGGTCGGCGGGAGTTGACTCATTTGCGGATTCGGTATGTTTGCATCTTGAGTTTCACTTAAAGCATATGGACAAGACTCGAACTATCAACCACATAATGTTTGTTTTCTGTTAAGGGGGTCCCGTAAAATGACAGGTTTCCTTTTGGTGTCCCTTTCCGGCCAAAAGGGGTCCACGATTTGGCAAGAAACCGATATGCTGGACCCCTTTCGGCTTGAAGCTGGGAGCCTGACCTCGCTTGCTGCGTGGATTTTGTCCATCAGGGACGTCGGGAGCGACGAACGAGTGCTTGCGTTGATCCGAAGCTGACCAGGGTAGAAGGTTGGAGCTTCCCTTTTTGAGAGGTGACCCTCAGTTGGTGGTTTGGGTTTTATGTTTGTTTTGGGGAGGAAGCCAGGTTATACCCCAAGGGGGGCTCCAACCATGGCTTCGTGGCCAAGGTTAAGCTTTCAGGCGCCACCATAATAGGGACGAGGAAGGTTTTTGTTCACTTCAGGTTTTATATGGGTGTTCTCTTGTTTGAAGGTCGCCCCTTCTGGAGTTGTTTTTTCTTCTTCTTTTTCTCGGAAAGCATGGTTTTTCCAGTCCTCTATTTGACACCCACATGAGCAAGGCTCAACATAAGTGTTCATTTGGAGAGGACATTTTCGCGACCTTCCCAATATCCCTATAGTTTTGTCACAAAAACAGGGGCCTACCTAATTGAACCAACTGCAAGTCATATTTTTTGTGGCTCCACACGATGCTACCCATGGCTTGCCCAGAGACGATTTGTTTTCTTTTCTGCCAGGAGGTGGAGCAGCTGGCTCAGGTCTCCTTGGGCCGAGGCGCTCCTGATCTTTCTGGCCAGACTTTTTTTTTAACATGTGTTTTTTTGTTTTTGTTTTTTTTTTGGGGGGGGGGGGGCGGGAGGTGCCTCCAAAGCGACGCTGCAAGGAATTGTCATCCAGGAAGCCGCACGGAGTTCTTGCCTCCATTTTGTGTTTTTTTGGAGGGGGGAGTGTGTGGGTAGGTGGATGGCGAGGTAAGAGCCTTGGGGGGTGATGAACGCTGCAGTTTGGCACGACGAGCCTTCGGCTTGCCCCAAGGGTGGTGGCCCACTTTGGCATCACAGGTTGGGGGTGTCATGGATATGCACTACTTGGACCCTCAATATAACAAAAAAAACAACAACAACAACAACATGGGTTATAGCCCCAATTGTGATGTCCCTTTTTCGGGGTAGCTTGAGGGTTTAGGTATGAGCTATTACTATTCCTGTCCTATTTGTATTCTTCCGCTGGGTTTTTGGGTGTAAACCGAGAGGAGCGTTTGCAACAATCCTGAGCCACCCTTCTCAGAAAGAGCCGCCGAGGAGGAGATTGTGTTCAAGCACCCTCAAACAAACCTTTGGGTGTTGGGATGCCGGGTGGGCAGAGTTGCATTTTTTGGGTTTCGGGACTACAAAGACAAAGCTCCAGCAAAATGTATCCGAATGATCCAAGGGGTTCCATTTTGGGGTTACCCTATTCTTGAAATGAGAACGGAGTGAAAGTCCTACCACAGTTCCTAATTGCCTGGTGGTTTCTGCCTGCCTAAACCCTCAAACTACCCTTAAGGGTCTTCACCAACCATCATTTTGGGGCTTTTTACCAATTATTTCGGTTGGCATTTGGAAGGTCCAGGGGTCTTTGGAGTTGGCGCCCCTGTCTTGGTGGCGTTTTTAGGGAAACCACAAGGACAAGACGGGCAATGCCAAACCAACTCAGCGACGTTTCTGCCGGGCGTCGGCGTCAGGTGGTCTGCTGGCGCGTCTCTCGCAGCTGGCCCCTGCGGAGGTCACGGACATCGCTGGGGGCACGGCGCCTGGGTGAGGTGGACGTGCTTGTTTCGGAGGCCACCTGTGTGTCTGTTTGTTTCTTGGGCCCCCCCCCCAAAGAAAAAGAGGGTTTTCTTTTGGGGTCCCCCCCAACCTGTGTGTTTTTTGGGTCCCCACCAGTGGCTTTCCAGTGAACTTTATCCTCCCAAAAGATGTCAGATGGTTGAGTTCGGGGGCATTTCCTCACGAAGCAAGCTATGACCCGGTTTCCCTATTGGCTATTTTTTGGTGGCATCTTTGCGAGGACCCGTTTTGGTTGGAATTCAAGTTTTAGAAACCTGCCCCTCTTTCCAACAAGCATCAAATTGGCCGGAGGGTGTTGGAAAGGCCCCTTGTCCACTTCTACAACGATCGGAAATTGGTGGCAACCATTGGTGGCCTCCTTTGGGGAAGCCAAAAGGAGGTAGTTTAAACAATTCTCGCCTGAACATGGTTAAACCACTGGCTCAACCCGAAGGCCACCGTGTTGGTGTGTGCTTCTTGGTTTCTTCGGCACTTCCCGTTCAACTGTGGGTTTTCACGGAACAGAGACTCTAAAACAAGGCCTGGTACTTGGAGATAGAAATCATTAGGGTCCTGTTTCGCAGGTGCCCTTTCAGCATATGGGGTGGGAGCTATTTTTGACAATTGACCGCCTGACGATCAACAGATCACCAAGCTTTCAGCAAAATGCTGGACATCAGCCCGGTAAAACCCTTGACTGAGGCCTCGGACGCAAGGCCTGCTTTCGTTTGGGAAAGTGGGAGCCAGCCAGACACTTTTGTATTCTGCCAACTTGCAGCAGCAATGTGTGGGAGTGGCGCTCTCTTTTCTTTTTTTTTTGGGGGGGGGAGTTCAATTGTCTGTGAGTTTTAGTGCGGGGAACCTCCTCAAAAGTGACGGGACATGAATCCACCAAAGGCTCCTAACTAAAACTCATGCCCAATTGGACAATGGATTGCAAGTGACTCGGGGCATGTGTGAACTACCTCACTGAGAGATGTAACATGTGGCAATTTCTAGGCAAATAGGAGGCAATGGCATACACATTCCCGGCCAAAAGCAACTTTCGGGCCAGGGTTGAAAGTACATGGCACTCATTTTGGGCAGGGGCTTCATTGACGGTGAGTGTTCCAGGCATCAAATTCGCTGGGAACAGTCTGTTGCGTTTGTTTTGTTCTTCTTGTTTGTTGTTTTTTTCTCTTTTATAGAAAGAAAAAAGAGAAACAACTGTTTATTTTTTTAATAGAAAGAGAAAAGGAACGCTGACGCAAAAAGACACAAGTCGTGGCGCGGCTGGTCTCCTTCAAGGGGCCCAGCGATCGATCGAGGACAGCATCACCAACAGCCGGGGGCACAGCCTGGGCCCACTGGTGGCGCGCGCTTGGGTGCAGATGGACGAGCTGGACACAGGCCGCGGGCGCGCGTGTCAGGTAGGGCGTCGTGCCTAGGTCCCCCAGCAATTGGTGCCAATTTTTACCTACTTTTTTTGGGTTTTGAGTTCCCCTACGAAAATAGACTACAGGAAGAACTTATTCTATCCTCTCTACTGGAGGACCTAGTTGGTGGTTTGGAGCCGGGTTGGAGTTGAACCCCTGGCTTTGGTGGGTGAATGGGCAACCCCTCCATGTCACCAGCAAAGCACCAATCCAAACCACCAATTGGAGAAGCTGATGCGGATTTTAGGAGTTGGAATTTGAGAGTGGACATAAATCACAAGCTAGTGATATCCACCAAGGGGTCCCCAGCTAAAAGGACTGATATTTGTTTGTTTTGAGGGAACCCTCCGAAGGGTGGAAGGTTCAATGAGATGTGTCGCAGCAGAGGTATTTTTCAAGCCTCGCTCACGTGAGCCTTCGGTGGCACCCACTTTGCTCACCCCGCCCCCAGCTTTCGTGAGAAGCAGGTGAGGGATATTGCCCCTCGAGACCTTCTCATCCGTTGCTGGTGGAGGTGGACGGTTTGGACGCTTGGCAGCGCCAATCCTTTTGCAGCCTAAGTCGAGAGACACCATATCATGGATTGTGAGAAGTGAACAAAAACCTGGATGTTGGGTGGAAAAGTCTTGACCGGGATTCCATCTAGGATTGCCCCTGTTTGCCGTATCATCTTTGATACATCTTATGTAAGGAGTCGACAACCAGATGGGTTCCAAGGCGTTTTGTGAAAACCAACGAAGTTTTCCGAAACTGCGACATCTTCTCAAAAGAAATGGCCTTTAGCCTAGCTACCAGGTCCTGTGAACTTTGAGCTTTGGAGTCTTGTTTCAGACGGGCAGGGAGTTAGTTCTCAACAAGAAAGTATCTCTTGCACGCCCGATGTTATTTCGAGCCCAGCAACTCAAGCTCTGTTTCGGTTTCTTTCAGAAAAGATCCTCTTCCAAAAATGGCACGCCGCTTTTTTAAAATATACAACATAACAATAAAACAAGACGCGTAAACAAAAAAATAACATGGGGAGAGAGGCGTGCCCTTGTTTTTTGGGTTGGTTTCACTGGATCTCAGAAAGGCCGCTTCCCCGTGACCGGGCGGGAGGTCCATCTGAAGGCCCACGAAGACCGGCGCCGGCCGCTGAGGAGGCGTGCCGCGAGGCCATCGACGCCACCGGTCGCGAGAAGCCCAGCTGCGACCTGCAGCTGGCGCGGATCTTGGCGGAGGCGCGGGAGAAGGCCCAGAAGGAGGCGGGACTGGAGCGGGGGAGCGCGGGGGGAGCGGGACCTTTGGGGGGGGGGGGAAATGACCTTTGTCGGTCGAAAAAAAGTCGAAAAAAGCCGAAAAGGGAAGGCCGGCAGGTTTTTTTTCCTTTTTTTTTTCTCCGTTTTGGGGGCCTCCAGTTTTTTTCTTCTTTTGTTGAGCATGGGTCTAGCTTTTTCTCCGCCAAGCTTGATTTTGCCGCTTTTGAAAGCACGTCCGGCACGTGAGGTCTGAGGCCTGGGGGCGTGTCAAACGTGGGGCCCTGTTGGGAGCCAAAGACCTTTGGAGTATTGGAGCCATGGGTCCACTTGGGAGTTGATCAAAGTGGCTTGCTTTTTGCTTTTTGTTCAAGGGAGCCGGGGTGTGGACCCCTTCAGGTCAATCACTCGTGACGCAAGGTATCGTGAGGTATTGGCTTTCCACAAGGCCATTCTGCGTGGCTGCAGAGATCTCTACCCGTTGGGCTTCCATGATCTTGCGTCTCCACGGGGGGCAGAACTGAAGAAATGAGATTGGGACGACATCTCGGATCTTGCGGGAAAGCACTGATTGGGACAGCGCGGGGTGACTTTAAGGTGTACCATGACCAACACCCGACTTCAACAAATGAACGCACAGACAGACTCGCCGAAAGCAATGAGTGCTTTCTGCTTGCCCAACCTCATCGGCCCCAGCCCTTACATCGCGCTCCGTTTTCTTCTCCTGTTCCATGTGGTAAGGATTGAACCTTCTGAATGCTTCTGCAGGAAGCAATTCCCCATTTTCTGCTCAGCATCAAGAAATAGGATTTTCTGCGCTCAGCGATTGCGGCTTGCGCGCTGCAAAATGACCTATGGTGCCAGCCCCAGCCTTTGATGAAGTCGGCTCAAACTCCCTTTCCCTTTGGATGGTAAGCATCATTCCCCTGCGCCAACTTAAAGTGACTTTCTTTCAAGTGGTTCAAGGGGGTGACATATGGGGGAACCTTGATTGGCAGATTTCAATCTGAGACAACGGAGTCAAAGCAACCGTTTGGGGCCGCTGGAAAGAGGACTTCGAACCGCGCGGCGGTTCGTGGTGGGGTTCCTAGCCAGACGCTCATGGATCCCTGGCGGGTCGATCTCTCGGGACGCCCCAGGGCCCTCAAAAAGGCTCCTTCTTGGCGGCCCGCACAGTGGTGGAATCAGGAAACCCCGCTGACCTTGCCGCAAGTTTGGGTCTGTCTTTGCGGGTACCTGGGTACCTTTCTTTTTCGGGGTTTTACACAGGTAAACCACGAGAAAAGCCGTTCTGCCACTTTTCGAGTCACCCGAGTCACGGGCGTGGCGCGCGGAGCGAGCGGCGAAGCCGTCAGGCGCGGCGAAAGGCTGGCAAGGACCCGTCGGAGCCTTCGCGGCGCGCCTTCGAGGCGCCGTTCAAGCCCGAGGAGCCCGTGGCCGCTGAGCCGCAGATCTTTGGAGAGCGGGCGGATCACAGGGGAAAAAGGGCTTCCCATGGGTGTCCTCTTTAGGGGAGTTTGGTTGATCAATGGCACAGGTGGAAACTCCGAACCATAGATATTTTTACTAGTGCCATCCACGTTCTTATCCACATTTAGGCGGATATTCAACGGGAAACCCGGGTCGACTGCTGCTTCCTGGGTGTTGCTCGAAGTCCACAGTTTCCTCCAACGGCACCAAAGCAGCAACCCATAGAGATGAGCTCCTGGTATCAACCCCTGGATTATTGGCTCATTGACCCTCACCAGCGGCGTGCCAAGGCTTTCCCATGCATTCGCTCTCTTCTTTCATCAAATCTCGGGTCACACCTCTGTCTGGTCTTTTCATAATGGTAAGAGAGACTCTGAGATTTTGGTGGCACATGTCCTAGACTTCCAAGACATAAATGGTGAACAGATGGGCAGTCAACAAAGACGAGACAGTAAAGATCCACCAGAGCAATGCTAAGGATAAACAGAGACAACGGTAAACATTGAACAGATAGAAATGAGCTGGACGCCACATCGAGAAGCCTGTCCTTTCTGGATTCTTGGATTACATCTCCACTCATCTTTTCTCTCCTTTGGTCTAGCAAGCATTCCCGAGCCGAGAGATCGAGAGTCAGCCCTTGATTCGTATGGAATCACCGGTCATCGCTTGCAACCTCTAGACCTAACCAACGAGAATCATTATTAAGGATGGTCATCATCCAAATTGGGGCCTTGCCACACTTTAAATGGTGGTTGAACCCTAGGGTATTTCAGGAATGCAATATGACAAGCGGTATCCACCCATAAAGCCTGGAACAGAGAGTTGGCTCAAGGCTGACTCCGTCTCTAGAAGGAAGAGAAAGGACGTGCTTGGACCTCAAACACCCTTGAAGATTGGGTGATAGCCCCAATATTATGGGGTCCTTTTTAAAGGGTACTTTGAGGGTTTAGGTGAATAGAGCAACAACGGACAGGTCATCATTCGCCCGAATGGGGACAGAGATGAAGCTATCCGTGAGTCCGGCAGCTTTTCGGGATTAATATGGCTTCTCAAAAAAGGGGAATCCTTAACAGGGCTCCTTAAAAGATGCATTTTGCAGCCGTTTGAAACATGTTGCTTTTCAACGCCAAAGTAAAGGGAAACCACCATTTACAAGGCAATGTTCAGGTGTATACTGCATCCGGATCCCTGCTTAAGATAGCCGGTTTTCTTTTGGTTCTCCGCTCAAACCACCTCTAAAAGCGTGCAAAGAGAGGTATACAGGCACATCCACATACGGTATTTGGGCGCCATGGGGATTTTCCTCTGGGTTAAGGTAAGATCCCCAACAACATGTTGTCAAACCCAAAACAGGCCTGAAACTTTCGGGTCACAACTGGGCGCGGCGGTTGGAATCAGCCTTTCATTCAACCTTTGAAGATGAACCATGGTATAAGGAAGTTGTTTAACCAGTTGTTGGAAACTGCGAGGGTTTTCACGGAACCCAAAGGGGACAGATCATCTTGTTTTTGTTCAGATCCGTGTTCAAGGGCATTTTCAAGTATGGATTTTGGAGCTATGGAGTGTTTGTTTTTTTCTTTTTCAGTTTGACTAATATAGGTATATACAGCGTTACTGCTTGTATTGGCGGTACACAAGTACACACGCCGCTCCAAAACCTACAAACATGGTGTTAGTTCTCACCCAGACAGGGTTGGGAATCCATCTGGTTGAATTTGGATGTGAACCCTTGGTTCCAATTAGGCGAATGGGAAACCATCCCCAAACCTCGAAACCTTTAGGCTCCAAACCAAAAAACATCAGAGGGAAGCTAACCTGAGGTTGTGGCTTCCGCTAAAACGGGGTCCCTCCCGCTCGACATGGGGAAACTTTCCCCCCGCATCCAAAAAGCACCAGGGGTCTCTGTGAAGGACCTACAACTTCCATTTGCATAAGCATATATTTGTATTTTGCCCTGTTGGTTTCAAAGGGAATCGATTTCACTACTGGACACATTTTCTCATTTTTCCCAGGGGGCGAAGAAGCACATGGACCTAGAAAAACAACTTCTCGTGCCTTTGGAAGTGGGATGTGTTGAGTTGGGAAGCCTTTGGCGGACATCCTTTCGGAAGGGATTCATGTCCGACAAAACATCGGTGGCTCCAGATCTCAACATCCACAAGTGGCACTTTTCCTTTGGCACCAACAACAGCAGGGTGTGTTTTCCTAGAAATGGGACTAAGACATGTATAATACATATATATATATATACAAATATACATGTGTATATATATATATATATGTATTAAAAAAGGAAAATCTATTAGCATGTCTAGTGATTCATTATTTAACCGCCGTTGGCGAGCTCCGCCGGCTCCTGCGGCTTCAGTGAAGCTACCAGGCCCAACTATGCACGCGACATTGGTACCAGAAACCACCAACGCGTGCGGTTCTTGTAGCTGTCCTTGCCTGCTTCTGCGGCTTTTTTGGGAAAGACGTTGCTCAGCGAGCGTGCAAGCGCCTGCTTGTGCGGTTCGACACTTTGCACTGTGGAACCCAAGTGATTAACACATGTACCCTAAACCCTAAACCCTAATCCCTAAACCCTGAACCCTTACATAGATTATATACAGATGTGTATATGTATACATATATACATATATATATACATATATAGATATGTATACATAGTATATCTAGTGGTTCCTTCGTCCTCCGTGAAGCCCCCAGGAGCTGAGCTTCCGAGAAGAGCAGCCCTCGCTCACCTACTTCCGGGACCGCCAGAGCTCGCGGGCGCGGGTGCCGGGCCGCGGCCATGAGATCCAGAAGGGCAAGGCGGGGGAAAAACCCCGCGGGCGGCAGACCAGGCTACGCGTGCGTTTTTTCTTCTTCTTCTCCTTGCGTGCATCACCCTCCCATTCGGCCTTGGGGTAGGGACACCCAAAGTCTAGGGGTTGATTCCAACCATTCTTTTCAACCATCGTTCTTTCCAAAACCGGATCCGTTTTCCCTCGGTTTCCGGAGGTTTTCTAGAAAGAAGGATCCCTAGAAAAAGGAAACCGTTGCCGTCTTGGGCTGAGATGATAGGGGTTGACTTGAAGTATAACATGTTGAAGCCCTTTGTGCTTCCCCAGAAATAGCTCCCCTTTTTGTTGTTTTTTCCTTTTTGGGACATCATGTACAAGGGGACCTATGGTCCACCAGCCATGTTTCAGGGGTTCCAACTCTTAAAAGTCATAGCCACTTGTGTCTCGAAATGGCCATGGGACAAAATCCCGTACCCCAAGTGAACATCCCAATCCCCACTAAAATAGACTAAACTGGGTGGTGCACCTACCCCATGTGGTACCATTGGTGTTGACCCGCAGCCAAATGGGTGTGTCTAAAAGAAGGCGACGCACACACCCAACAAGGGACCCTACGGCAGCGGGTGGATTTTTGTACAACCCTGAGAAGAAACGAGTTTCTTTTTTGCTTCTTATGATTATTTTTTTTCGTTGACATGTTTCATTGATCAATATTTGGCGGAGGAATAGTTGGTCGTGGCCTCAACAATGGAAGATGTTCTTCATTTAGTGAATATTTAAGACTGTATGTTCTTTCTGAATTAATTGAATCATATTGTAGATTAAAGTACCTAAACCCTAAGACCACCCTTTAAAAAGAAGGGAGTTCACCCCATCTTTCTTGGGCTATACCGTCCAGGTAGTGATATGTCATTGTTGTTGTGTCGATATCGGGGGGGTGTTTCCTCAGGCAAAGGATCCCAGCCGGTCAAACATTTTCTGACTGCCAGCTAGGTCTCTGGCTTCCTTTGGTCTGGCACAACAACTTGGGGTCATAGGTGTCCTTTTCAGCTTAGTTTGGTTAATAGAAGGCACTGGTTTAGATGGGTTTTATTCCATTTGCCAGGGCCATCTATTTTTCCCAAATGACACCTATGGGATCCTTTTGGTTTCGGTGGGCGTTTGTTCCCGCATTTTCTTGAACCAGTGCTCGGGCGTAACCCCCCCCCCCCACCCCGGGTTGACAAGGGGTCCTTTGGGTCATCACCTTGTTGGCGGTTTTTTGGGGCGGGGGCTCACATCCCTGTGCTTCAGTTTTTTTTTTACCCTTGTGGGTTTAAAACGGAATCTAGCACGACTGGACATATTTTATTATTTTGTCCAGGGGGCGAAGAAGCAAATGGAAGAAGAGGGCCAGCAATTTTATGACGTGAGGCATCTTGAGTTGTGTTTCTTTCTTTTTTTCAGGGGGATCTCAAGGTGTTTTTTCAGGGGGCGCAAAAACAAGTCAAGAAGCAACGATCGAAGCTCCTGTTGGTGATTTTATCGAGTTGGGACCCCCTGCGACCCCCGCCCTTTGGCTTCTTGGCTTCTCCCGCTAGGTCTTCGAGAACTTCAAGTTCCTGAGCCAAGAGGACCCTTTGGACATGCCCAAGCCCAAGGCGATGAAGCAGGGCCTGTCCGCCTGGAAGGCGAGTTGGACACCTGAGAAGCTCTGTATTTACGGTGTATGTATATAAATGTATACACATTAAATCTATATGTATATATATATATATATATATGCACATCTGTCCAATCTAATCTAATCTAATCTTGTCTAGTCTAGTCTAGTCTAATCCAATCTAATCTAAACTATCTATCTATATACACCTAGGACCTGGACCCTCAAAATCCCAACTTAAAATTGGGTTCTAGAAAAATTTAGGTATATAGTTTCAGCTGACGTATCACTAAGGCATGCAAAGACAGGCATGACACTCGAGGGTGCCGCGCCGCTCGCATAACCAAAAGCACAACCGAGATGGGTTTTGGGGGGAATCCTTGGCACATGTGTGAAACCTGCCCCAAGATGGTGGGGTGGTTTCCTTTCCGTTTTGCGACGCACCAATGGGTCCATGGAAAGGCTTCGAGGCCCCAATGGCGTGAATGTGAGCAACTGGCTCAATTATTCGTAGTCTAATTTGGTAGAAGGACACCCACTGAGAAGTTGCCAGCTCTTAGGGAAACAAGTAACGTGTGGGAGATGTGTTCAAGGATGCGTGTGAACATGTGTTTGTGTGCCCTTGGAGGGCCGGTGAGTGCCGTTTGGTTCTTTGCATCAGCTTGCCAGGTTGTACGCACAGAGGTGCTAGGAGAGTTTGCCTGAAATTGCAATGATGTCACTTCTTCATTTTCTTCGTGTTTGGGCGATCGCGGAGCAAAGAAGCCAGCTGCTGGAAATTCTACAGCACATCTTCTACGGGAAATCCTTGTTTCTGGTTGGAATTTGGCCAATTTCCTGTAGAAACTCCTGCAGCTGGTGTGTACGAAGCAAAAGGAACGCCTAAACTCCAAAAGGACGGCTTGCCCCCCTCCCTCTACCCCCGGTCCCTGCTCAACCCCCATGATTCTTTTCCAGTGCCTTAGTGGAAACTCTTCGATTTGTGTTTTTTGGCCCAAGGCAAAGTGAGAGACTTCTAAGGTTTCCCCATTCTTTCCAGGGATCCTTCTTTCTAGAAACCGAAACCCAGGGAAAACAGCGATCCGTTTTTGAAAAGAACGATGGTTGAAAAGAATGGCAGTGGGTCAAACATATGTACCCAAAATTTAAAATGGGAACACAAGTCAATAAAAACATGGGTTAAACCTGTGGTCCCATGGTGAAAAAAATTACACAAGTCAATAAAAACATGGGTTAAACCTGCGGTCCCATGGCTTAATTTTGACCCACAGCCAGATGGCTGGAATGAATCCCGAGACTCGCTCCGCGCGGAACGAGGCGCGGATTCGGATTCGGAGTCGCGGACTTCGCAGGTGGTCTACCACTCCTCGGTGGCGGTGCGGGCCGCGCCCAAGGCCACGGGCCAGCTGGTGGGGCAGCTGCAGCCAGGAGTCCGTGGAGTGTGGCACGGTCAGGGCTCCGTATCTGGGTCCCCCAGCAATTGGTGCCAACTTTTTTATCGTTTCTTTTTTGGTTGGGAGGGTGCAACCCTACTACAATAGACTACAGACAAAAAATGGTACCCTTATTCTAGCCTCTCTACTGGAGGACCTAGCTATGCCTTGGATGGACTCCCCAGCAGTTTTTGAGGGGGATTTCTGGTTTGAAGGGATGCAAAGGACACCTAACCGTTTTGCGGATCCCGCATTTTCGGAGACAACTCACTTCCTCAGTTCATGGACTTGAGTCACTCTTGGGGTTTGGACGATATTAGAACGGGAGTAGCTTGGTTGCCTTTTTTCAGCCATCCACTCAGGAAGTGAGATACCGTGAATGGACCAAATCCGCCTCGCACCAGTTGGGATGAATGAAGCCATATGAATGGGATGGGCCACCGACCTGCAGCATTTCGTCCATCCACAGTATGGATGTGAGTTTTATTTGGGGGCCCGTTACCTTCAAGCCACAGCCATTTTGAGGATGGTATGGGCCAAGTCAAGCCACCAGACAGAATTTAGTCAATTTGTGGGGATACCCGATTTTTGACCCACAGCCATGTCACTTTGACGCGCCCAGTGTTCGTTTCAGTGGTGTGCTTATATATAACAGGTACATCCTAGACGAAAATGCGCTCGGCCGAAAAAAAACGAAGGCGACGGATCCGATTCCAATGACTTCAGACGAATAAAATACGTTCCCTGGGCTGACTGCATGGTTTGCGTGAGTTGTTCTGGTTTCCAACATCACCTCTTGGTTGCCAATTTAAAGGGGGGTTCTTTGGCTTCACATTCAACGGTGAATCCAGGGTGCCCATCCCTCCACGGCTCGAAGGGTTGCATCCATTTTGGGGGATAATTGGGTTAGCTCTTCAGAATGGGGAGGTGTGGATAAGAACGGTTTCAAAAGCGCGTGTGCCAGTTTCTGAGCAAAAAGGCCGAGACTGTGAAAACCTCGACGTGTCAGAGCGCAGGAGACGTGGCGTACTGCGACGACAAGCAGCGGAGCGGCAACTGGATCCGGGTGGAGGAGGCAGGGTGTGAGCAAGTTTGCGTGAGATGGCCGTATCAACGCGGAAGGGGTTAGATCAGATGAATATAGGACCCACACCCTGCAAAAAGGGAGTTCGCCCCAGAAAGCCAAGAAGAGGAAGCCAGTAGGGCCGCCTCCCTTTAGGACCTGTCACCCCGTAGAAGCGCCAGCTTGCTGGTCACCGTGGGGTTTTTCAGGCCGTGCCCCCATCGGCGAAAGCGGAGCCGAAGCCTGGTTGGGCCACGAGACTCACTGAGCTTTAAATCTTTGGGTACTGTGGATGGACAAAATCCTGCACCACCTAAGAAGCCCTGGAATGATGATTCCCCTGTAAATACCAACAAACAATGGCTAGGTCTAGGGGTTGATTCCCCGGCCTCGCTCCTCAAAACCCTGCGGAGGGCCCGGAGCGGATCGGCGAAGATTCTGATTCGTTTTAATCACCAGCCGTGGTTTCCGGGGGTTTCCGGAGGTTTTCTACAAAAAACATATCCCTGGAAAGAATGGGGAAGGTACTAGAGTAGGGTCTGGATGGCTTTTGGGCTCAAAACTGAGACGGTTTTCAAGGAATTGGTCGGGGTCTTCATTGGAGGGTTCACTTTTGGTGGGGTTTGCCTTCGGTCTCGGAATTGGTCAGGACCCGCCCCGGAAACAGCTCAACCCGCCCCCTGTTCTCTCCAGGTGCCAGGGCAGAAGGCGATTTCGGATGCCTGGGTGCTGACGGACGGCACTGACTTCGGAATGGGAATTTTGCTGCAGAAGGTGGAGAAGAAGTGACTCAGTGAGGTGTCGCCGAGTTGAAGACCTGCCACGCAAGGCCAAAATCCAGAGCTGTGGGGCGAATGCGTTGATTTTATATCTTCTTGGGGAGAAGGTTTCCCTTCAGCATCAAACAAACTGGCTCCTCTGAGGGGGGCCTTTATGGCAGAGTGTGACCAGTTTAGCAGATAGGCAGGCCATTTAGCATCATGTAGCTCGTGCCTCAAAGCTGCGCTGCGAAAAAGAACAAGTCAAAGCTGACTCGCTCTATGGCTCGTATTCCTCACTCCCGAGTCTCTGCACTCTGAACTTTTTGGACAGACCTTTTGAGTGGTGAACAACCAGTTTGGTTGCTTTGTTGGGTCGATCGACTCGGGAAGCCAGATTCTGTTAAAACACCTGGTGGGACAAGTTTTGCTTTCCCGCGAGCCCGCAACGCCCGAATCCCGAAACCCTCAAACTACCCTGCCCAGAGGGTGCTCGGGCTTTCAATGGAAGACCCGACCCCTTCATTGGACACCCCGGAGGTGTTTGGGGGTCTCAAAACCTGGCTGTTTGAGGACCCTAAATGAATCGGGAGCCTCTGGGTGAAAAAAGGGAATTCACCAACCATATTTTTGGTTCTATAACCCACATAACCCCATGTTTAAGTTTGAATTGTGTGGGTCCAGGTCCACGTTTTCGAAAGGGGTCGCTTCAACCCAGGGCTGCACATCGCTGAGTCGACAAGAAGCGGCGTTCGGCTCAGGGCGGCGATGTCGGAGCGAGCCGAACCACGTGAGGGAATCAAACCCAAGCGCCGGCAGACATGAGAGAGCATCTTTTTAGAGCCCCTCAAAACGGCGCAATGGTTTTCCGGTTGGTTTCTCTTTAAAGCCACCAAAAGAGGAGTGCCCTTAAGAAAGACACACCCAAATGAATGTAGTTTCATAGACCAGGTCTGACTGTCATCAAACGGATCAGTTCGCCAGGAAGCTAAACCGATTCCTCAAAAGGCAGGCTCACAAGGCTGTCCTTTCTACCAGGCGTCTTGACTCAATTCCATCCAAACACCTTTCTGGTGAGTTTTGCTCCCCCTCCTCTTCTTTGTTTTTGGCTGCCAACCAGCGGCCCCCCCCTCCTCCCCCCCCACCCACTCCATCCCCCTTTTCCCCGCTGTCCGCGATTCCATCGGATGGGATGTCGGCGGCCTCCTGGGGCCAGCTGCGCACGGTGTACTTCCAGATCTTGGAGTCCACTCTGAAGGCCTCAACTCCGCGAACCTTTGATTCCATTGGCTGAAATTTGAATCGTGCTTTTCAATCTGCCCCTGTTGGCTTTTGCTTAAGAATATGTCCTTTAAGGAGATTTTGCTTAAGAATATGTGTGTATTTGCCCTGGGTTTAAAGGGAAGCGATGTTCACTGCTGGACATACTCCTTTTGTCCAGGGGACTTGAGAAAGAATGGAAGCATTCCGGGAGAAGTTTGCAATCAGCGACCAAGGATTTTTGCTTTCCATCAGGACGATGGCCGAAAGACCCAGATGGGTTTTCGGGAACCGGGGAGCAAACTTCCAAGAGGATTTAAATTGGGATTATTTTTTTCGAGCCACCCAAGGCCAGGACAATGGTGAAAATCGATGAGTTTGGTGGAGCACGACTGTTTTTTCCGTCTTGAAGACATCTTTGCCAATGCATGATTGCCGCGGGTTTAATTCTGGACTGTGCAAGACCCAGAGTTGTGAGCCTTTGAGTATGCTTTTCATTGGCAGCTTGAGACTCAGATTACTTGCTGGTGCTCAGCAGGGTACGGGAAATGGAATGACACCTACAAAGCATCCAACCTATGGTTTCCTTTGTTCCGGAATCCCCTTCCGGTTCATTCCCAGCACCCTGGGTCATGTTCCATGGTGTCCTTTCGGAGAATCCAACCAAACTTTGTTCATTTCATTCCCAACACCCGGACTCGGAAGGGTCGTTTTCCCTATCGCACCAGCGAGATTGGCAATCCTAAGTCTTCCAGTAGTGCCCTTTTGCCCCCTTTTTTGGGGGGAGGGTTCCCCTACTAAAACAGACTATAGACAAGAAATCGGGTACCAGCTTATTCCAACCTCCACTGGAGGACTTAGAATCAGTCCGGCCTCAGATCTGCGACGAGCCCCGGTTGCGGGAGCTCTGGCGCGATGCACTGGAGAGGCGGGGAGAAGCCGGAGTCGCCCGGCCTCGCCTTCACCTTTTTTCTTCAGTAGTGCCGCAATTTACCGGTTTCTTGTTTGGGGTTTTGGGTTCCCCTACCGAAAATAGACCACAAAAACAGGTAACTTATTCTAAGCTCTGTACTGGAGGACCTAGTCACTGTTCTTGGCAAGTTTTTGTTGGGGTTGTTGTGCTTTTTTTTTTCCGGGGTCTTTTCACATTTTGAGTAGTTAAATGGGCTGCAAAAGGCAGAGTTGGTTGCAAGCCCATACTAAGGGCTGTGAAGTCTTGGGGGTTGGGCAATGATCAAAGAACCAGACCCTGGCTTGACGTTCCAGCTCCCAGGTTCCTCCCATGAGTCCAGGTTCTTCCAAGGAATACAGGTTCTTCTTGCGTAGCCCCTGTTTCAGCTCCCCAGTCAGGTTGGTCACTTTTCTAGGGGTTGATGCTTTGTCCATTCCTTTCAACCATCGTTCTTTCCGAAAACCGGATCCGTTTTCCCTGGGTTTCCGGAGGTTTTCTAGAAAGATTCTGATCCCTGGAAAGAATGGGGGAAGGTGTGCTCTTGGGTTTCTAGGTTGTTGGGTTTTTTGTTTCTTTTTTTTTTGGGGGGGGGGCTGCAACAAAAAGATGGTTGCAAGTTGTTTGCTACCATTCCAAGGGTGTTCAAGTGTCCTTCCACCTTTGGTTGAACGAGTATCCTAGTCTTTTCAGGTTACCCCCCCCCCCCCCAATTTTTGCACCTGGAAAGAATATGTGAAGGCAACCAAAAGAACGTCGGAAAATCACAGGTTGGCCCAACCCTTGCTGAGTTTAAGTTTTGCAGACTCTTGAGCTCAGCGATTTTCCCATGGGGATACCCAGTACCGAATCCAGTGACAAAAGTATTTGAACCCAGAATAGTGGTTATTTCTCATAGTTGAATTGGGGGTTGTTCTCAAATAGACTATCATTGCCGTCTGGATCGGATGCAGAGCGGGCTAGGAGACTCTCTCTCGTTGCGAAGGCAGGCTCGTGTTCGGTCACGCGGACTTCGGATGTTGTGTTATATCCTCACACTTCCTCAAGGAAGCGAGGGACATTGCGGTGATGTTTGCCGTCGCTTGCAATAGGCAGACATTTTTTGACGAGAAATTCTTGGAGTACACTGCATCCACATAGCCACATAGCCACCGTTCCAACGAAGTTATTTACGGCAAGAGATTAAGCTGAAACGCACATTTATCTCGCTTGCAGAAACTGCAGCGAGATCAATTACCAGTCGGCGCAGAAATTTCACCTTGCAATTGGCTTCCTTTTGGTGGACGGGCCACTCACAAACTGCATGCCGCCACTGCCGTATGATCCCATGTGTGCTTGTTCTATGTGCTGTGCGAATATGTCAACAAGTGCGACTCTTTATGACGTGCTAGTGAGCTTTAGCAATGCAGAGCCATTGGAGTGTCACTGACATGCCATGCATCGGCAAGCACGACTTCCATTTGGACTTTTGCAAGGACAAGCCATTCTGCAATGCAAGGGCAGGGACAGAAAGACAATGATACGTTGCTATCAGCCGCGTTGATCCCAAGCTGAAGTTGGTTGGAGCCGTATTTGACAGCCTGGGCGCATGGGCGCTCCAATGTACCAGGGGATGTTAATGGGTTCAACAGAACAGGTTTCAGCTCACCTCACGCGACAATATGTTGCATGTGTTTCCTTCCACTCCGCATTTACTTTCTTCGGTGTGGTCGCTGCAGATATTTGAAAAACCGCAGAGGACCTGGGCCTTCTACAAGCAAGTGCCACGGCAGAGCCTTTTGAGGGCTACCTGTTGAATAGGGTTGAAGGAAAGTGAGAAGAGCCCTTTCATTCGGGGAGCAACCCAAACCCGAAACCCCAAACCCTAAAAACCGGCTGGTTGGTTTTCCCTGTATTTGTTCCGGTTCTCTCTGTATCTGTTCCGGTTCTCACGCACGCCCCCTTCCACCTTGACCGGTGGCTTCACCCAAAGTGCGCTTGAACGTGTGGGCAGACATTCCAACCATCCTTTCATGACAACCACAGGCTTGCTCTTTTGGAGGAGACTCTTCGGGGTTTACTGGAACCTCCCAGATCTCCGGCTTTCTCCAGAGTCACGAGCTTGGCAGCGAATTTCGGCACTGCTAAACAAGCCTGAGCTTGGAGATCTTTTTGGGAGAGTTGCATACAGTTACCACCTCTCCCTCTACCCCTCCCTCTCCCCCAAATCACCCCAAAACAAGCCGGGGCTATAACACATTTTTCAGTTGCAATTTTGAGGGTTCAGGCAGTTTTCCTCCACATCTTCCGCCCATTTCTCAAGCTGCTCAGACCTCCGGCGTGCAGCTGGAGGCGGGTTTTTCCACGGAACCGGGTGAGTTGTCGTAGCTGACCGAGGTCGCACGCTGTTTGTCCTTTTGCTTGGGGGTAAGGCTCGTTTTTTTTTTTTTGATTTGTTGCACTTGTTTGGGGATTGCTGCGTTTTTTCAATTGGATTTTCTGTTGTTGGGCTGTGATTTCTTCCAGTTGTCGGGGGAGGTTGACTGTGTTCACAAGTGGTAGCCAAGGTTGTGCCTAGGTTCGGGTAAGTGCGCAGGGGGTAAGGGACCATGTTTGACACTTTTTGAGAGGACTCTCTCCTGATTCTTCTCAAGCAAAACAGCCTTGAAGTGCCTTTTTGTCGGAATTGCCTTGGTGTCGGTATTCGGCGGCTTAGACCCCATCAATCCCAAGGATCGCTTGGAATGGTTCGTTTGTACTCAGATGGCCAAGGGGCAAAACCTATGGCTCCATGTTGGATGAACATCCATTTGCCACCGATTTTTGATGTTCACCAGGAGTACAGGGTTTTGACCCACACCAAGATACTTTGCTTGGTTTGTTTCCAGGAAATGTTGCTTTCCAGTCAGAAGGCT